CGCACGCACGCACACACACACACACACACACACACACACACACACACACACACATACGCAAATAACAACAGAATTGATTGCGGAAATGTAATACAATCAATGCTAATACGTTTGCTATTTTAATAATAACATTAACTAGTAGCACTAATTCATATTAATTATGAAGGTAACGGACATAGGAGGCAGTCTGGAAACCACCTTTTTTATTTTAAAGTTTTCAGCACTCGTCATTATGCTATGAATAGTAAGAGCTATGATTATATGACGATGAAAAGTTGTTTCCTGATGTTTTAACATCATGATAATCGTAGGTGTAGCATTTATGTTGTTTTTTCTCTGTGCAAAAGCATGGCATGGGAATTTTGGAAAGACTGATATGGTTCCCAAACAAATTCCATGACCTTTGTTACGAATATTCATGATTCATTAAGGATGAGTTGTTGTTACTCTGGTGATTTCTTAACTTTCCATCTAGCCCTATCTTCGAAAAATGAGCTATCCTTTTGTGCTTGTACTTGGTTTAATGAAAATATACTTTTCAAACTAATACAAATAAAAAGACTCAGCTCAATTTTGTATTCAGGGTATTACATGATACAAATTATATATTCTGTCTAGGTTTTGAAATAAACGACATGTCAAAGTAACACTGTTGGAGAAAAAGTTCAGAAATTGGTCAATTTAAATTGATTCATTTCCACCCATCAGATGAATGTGTTTGGTAACTCTTCTTCATGCAGTGAAGCATCACATACCATTGAACAGAGAGCCGTTGTGTGTTTGTGCAGCTCGGAAAAATATCTTATCTATCTTTTCACCAGAAGACATATCACACATTCCACTTCAAAATAAATAAACGCATAACCGACAACTATAAAAGTGGATTTGCATTACACACACAGTTGTTCTTTCAGATCAAATTCCTGTAACATTACAAATCCAGACACATGCACACACACAACTTTATGGACAAGCTAATCTCTGTGGAACCGAATATTCCTTACTAAGGCCTAGTTTGGTGAAACCAAAACTAGCTGAGACAACTAGCTACCCCAAATCCACACTACATAATAATTATGTTTCTAGAATATATTTGTTTAAGTTTTTGCCTCTGTTCTCTCACAAAGCAATGTAAAAAAGATAGGAAGAGATCCAGCGGAAAAACACATAAATTACTGGTAAAAAAAACAACACGGTAAAGCAGATAACAAATGTAATTTTCTTTTTAACTGAATGCCACAAGAGTTAATTGGAGGGTGATTCAGATCATTACATTTCCTATTTATTTAACTGACACTTTAGTCCAAAGCCACCAGCGATAACTGCAATCAAACATGAAGATACTAATTCAGAATAACAAGTATCCTGTACATTAGCTTTCAGAAAGCCAAACCATTTCAAATGCTACATGCTGAAAAAATATGAGTTTCTTATTATTTATTTTATTGGCAAAGGTGCAGTCGAAACAGATGAGTTTAAGCTTGAGACAGAAGACGAGTTAACTTCCTGCTGTCCAGATATTAGCTATCCAGATTGTACTATTCCTGCTTAACGCCTGCAGGTTTAATTTAGTAAATAGGTTAATGTCTACTGATATCTCCTCTTATAAAGATTTGTTTGTTGAAGAGACGTCTTTTCTATGAGACGTGTGGTATTGGTTTCTCCATGTAATATTTCGTATTGGTTTGGGACCAGGGTCTCAGACTTTTTCATAACAAGTTGAAATCTAGGTTAATATGAATATACACAATGTAGAAATTTAGCATGGAGTATGGATATTGGTTTTTGCTTTTGAAAACATGTTTGGTCATTTCCTGACTCAAGAATGAGTCACACCCTTGTGGGTTGTTAGTTAGCGCTTTTGTTTGAAATAACTGATCACCATCTAGGACTCTTGGCAGGTCAGGTCAGGGGACCCCAGCTCAGGACTAATATTTGTTTATCTCCTGGTGGACTCTGACCTTGGTTCCAACTTTTAGTTGCTCTTCATTTGAAAGACAAAGATACTGAAACCTTTCTGAATCAGGCGGTTTTTCTAGAGTGTTAATTTAACACTAATTGTTCAGCTCTTGGCACTTTACTATAATATTTATGCTTGCCGAGCTCAATGTTGTAAAACTTTAATCTCTTCCAAGTTAAAGATTTAATTAAAAATGATGCACAAGTCTACTCAACTGTGTACAGGCTGGCTCATGCATGCAACTCACACAATTATATACAGTGTTTTCAACCAGAGTGTGAGTCTTTAAATGTTCTGGCTTAAATAAAAAAACGTTCATAGCTAATTTCTGCAGGTCTGCGGGAGTGTGTGTATGTTTCCAGTTGCAGATATAACGTATGATAAATACATGTGCATATAACATAAAGTGAAACCACCCTTATCATATGGGTGTGTGGTAACGCATGAGTAGATGAAAAAAAAAGGAAAAAATAATGTGACTGCATGAGCTCATCAGCATTAGGAATATAGGATTTAAAAAAAAGTATATTACAACAAGTTTCAAGTATCTTACATCAATATTTTTTTAAGTGCCATGTGTGCCAGGATCTGTAAAAAGTGAGTTTCTCAGGTACATTTTAATTCTGTCTAAATCTCATCAAATAATAATGTTGTGCCTAATTCCAGAGATGTAGCATAGAAGATATTCATATGAAAATTACTTGACTGGAAAATGCTATCCTACCAGAGATAAGGACTTATAAAACAGCACATACTGTAACTGGTGTGTGACTTGCACAATGTAAATCTGGCACTAGTTCTCCCTGCATTATTTTTGACACAGAAATATAGTTACAGTGACTTGTCCGACCTCCAGCCCTCCATCACCACGTCTCATGCTCCACTTCTCATGCATCAGAGCCGGCTAAGCCTAAGCGGATGTATGTTTAGACTTGAAAGGCTTACACCTGCATACTAATATAGAATCCAACCATGAAACACAAAGCTGTCATATCATCGCTGCCTTGTCTCAACAGCCAGCTCCGCTAAAGCACCCACTGCCTCACTCCGCTGCACAGGGCTGTAATGACAGATACCTGTGTGTGTGTGTGTGTGTGTGTGTGTGTGTGTGTGTGTGTGTGTGTGTGTGTGTGTGTGTGTGTGTGTGTGTGTGTGTGTGTGTGTGTGTGTGTGTGTGTGTGTGTGTGTGTGTGTGTGTGTGTGTGTGTGTGTGTGTGTGTGTGTGTAAAAACAGAACAAGAAACAGAAAAATAAATAAACAGCTATACCAATCATCTTTGGCATAAGACTGTTCTTCTGGGATAAGACACCTTCAATATGTATAGAAAAGTAGACAAATAATATACATTTTTACACATACTTAACAAGGTGTACTGTACTTGTACAGTATGGTTTGCACTTAAACCCTTAAAGTACACAGTGTTTTGCCCTTAAGCCGTTCTGTCATTATTTGCATGACATTTGGTGTCGATTGATTGGAAATCTGACAAAATAAAATTACAGTGTAAAGTGTTATGGAAAATCTCAAGCTTAACAAAAACTTGAATACTTCACAAGGGGCTCACTAAAATTATTTGTAAGTCTGTTAACCTTTTCTCTCCTACCTTGTTCACTAATTGTGACTCCAAACATTAGTTGTTGGTTCCTTGAATCTCTATCCCCACTCTCAAAGTGTAGCAAGTTGTGTTTAGTTTTTGTTTTGCTATATGTTTATGTATGTCTGTTTACACATTTAGCTTTGTGTATTTTGTTGAGCTGTGCTGTTGACTGTTGTCATTTTGTCTCGTGTTGGGACACGCAATGCACCTCAGCTAGATCAGCTCCTCTAAAGCAGAAGCACTTTGTCAAACTTAAAATGTATTATGGCCCCATGCCATAGATATAACAGGTATAAGTGTTCCCTGGATTTACATTTGACACATCCTGTTCAAAGGCGTTAATGGACAGCTGCCAGCGGATCAGTCAAAGTATTCACTGTGTCTATAGAATGATCTCATATTGCTGTATATAAACAGCAGGTATGTGTACTGTAAGTGATCTTGCAGTAGATGACTAATTGACATATTTCCTGGAAGAATATAACACAGAAAAATGAAAATGAGTTATAACTGTATCAGCTGCAACATTAAAGTGATAGAGCCAATAGGCCAATAATGATCCCATAATGTCTTGTAGGGTAAATTGGACTGAAATAGGCCATTCTGCATTCATCATGTAGGCTACCAAAACATGTAGGTAATTTAAGGGTTTTGCAATACTGATAGTATGGTGTAAAGTAACTAAGTAGATTTACTAAAGTACTGTATTTAAGTACAATTTTGAGGTTATTGTACTTTACTTTAGTATTTCAATGTTGTACATCTAGTCCACTGCAATTCAGAGGGAAATTGTGTACTTGTACTCCACTGCATTTATTTAGTGTAGTAGTATTCAGACTTGGAATAATGATGTGAAATATAATCAACACTTAAATAAGACTTTATTTACACCTGGAGTAAATTCACAATCTACCCTGCAGCATACAAAGTCATTTAAACTAGCTGCACCATTACCAGCTTTGATAACACATTAATGCATCAGTAATTATAATCAAAACATGTAATATATATTATTCTGAAATGGACCAATCTGCATAATGAGTAGGCTACTTACGTATTTTGATGTTAATACTTTTTTTTGTTATTTTACTTGAGTAACATTTTGACTGCAGGACTTTTACTTGTAACAGAGTATTCCTACACTCAGGTAGTTTTACTTCTATTTAAGTACAAGATCAGAGTACTTCTCCCACCTCTGATACTTTTAAATGAAGGACTTTAATGTGACAGAGTACTTCTACACTTCAGTAAAGGATTTTATTAGCCTAGCCCTAGAGAGTCTATAGATACTTCCACCTCTGTTGTCTCCAAACTTGAAAAGCACATTGCAACACACACAGACAAACACACACCCACTCACACACACACGCACACACACGAACTGGACCACCCCGCCCCGGTCCCGCCCAGCGGCCCGACCCCATGGAGAACACACACCGGATCATGTGACAGCAGCAGTTTCTGAACGACACAACCCGAGACGTGCACACAGAAAGAAGGAGGGAGTTTCATAACTTCGGGAAGTTTTGTGGAGCCATCGATCAGTGGACTCGTCTTGTTTTTCTGATGTCAGTGACAGCGGAGGGCTGATCGTCACTGCGTCACTTTTTCACCGGAGTTGACTAATTGAGAGACATTTTCTCAGCGAGGCAGACTGTGAGATAGTTTATTCTCTGATCCTGGATAAGACTTGTAATACTCAACCTGAGAAGTAAGTTTGACAGCCTGATCTTCCTCTAATGTTACTCATTTCCCGGCAAACTGATGTAATTTTACCATCGGATGTCCTGTGTCAAGCATGTGCTGTGTGGTCTTATTAAAGGTTATATGTGTTGTATTAAAGCTGACTTTACTATGGGAAAGAAGTCCATAAAGTTAGTTGTTTTTTTATGAGACCAAGCTGTTAATGTCTAGGTGATTAGCCTAATTAGTTGATTTCTGTTTTTTTTGCTCTTATTCATTGTGTAAAAATAAGAGAAATGAGCGTTGTAGCCAAATGTGTGTTGGCAAGGCTGCTGATGATCTCAACAGTGGCTGATAACTCATGTAACTCGAAAGTAGAGAGACTATGCTATTTATAGCCTATAGAGCCTTTTTTAGAACATAGTGTGGTTTAATTAATTAAAATAGAAAAAGTGGTCAAATGTAGGCATGTGAGGGAGACTCATAGTGGTGTGTCTGTGTGAAGTTGGTTACTCACAATGTGTAATTTTGATCTAGTTTCAAATGTTCTAGATTTAGAGATTTAGTATAGATGTTAAAAACAATGTGAACAGTTAGAGCTCATTTGGCATCTGCTTTTACCATAAGGATCTTCCCTTTTCTGGTTAAGCAAATATCACCAAAGAATAATGAAGATTCCTTTCTGAGAGCCCAACAGACACCTTCAATTGTGTTATTTATCATAAGATGTAAAGAAGCTCAATTAAAAAATATAGGCTACAAAACACACAAGTGCAGCAACATGTGACTTTTGAGAAGCTGTACTCGGTGATTATTTAAAACATTTGCTAGATTACTCATCTGAAATGTCCAAACTGTTGCTAATTTTCTGTCATTGTACTAACTAATTGATCTATTTATTGATTCAGTTGTAGTTCTGATTGACAGGCCATCAGTAAAGTCTGAATCTGATGCTCAAGCAGAGATAACTGTGTGTAGTGTCAGAGCATACAGAGAGGAGCATGTGTGACAGGTGTGTGTGTGTTTAAACAGTCAGTCACACCTGAGGTTTTTTGTTTCACCTCTGGTTTCACTGCAACTATTTGTAATACACATCTCTCTCTCTCTCTCTCTCTCTCTCTCTCTCTCTCTCTCTCTCTCTCTCTCTCTCTCTCTCTCTCTCTCTCTCTCTCTCTCTCTCTCTCTCTCTCTCTCTCTCTGCCTCTGTGTTTCTCCTCTCTGTCTCTCCCTGTTTCCTGTGCTTTGTTTCAAGGCTGAGGCTTGCGTCACACATTCCACTTGGCATATGAAGCCCTTATCCTGTTTAGAGCCCGGAGTGAGAGAGAGAGGGAGAAAGAAGGGAGGAGAGAGGGATGTTGGGGGGTGGACGGGTGGAATGAGGGCGACCTCTCTCTCTCTGCCTCTTTGTCTTACTTTACACTCTTCAATTGCTCTAGAAAAGTTTGAAGTGAAGAGCAGTTCTCTTTTTATTCATTTATAAGGCTTTTTATTTGTTCCTAATTAGAGTCATACTCCTCCCACACTTACACCTTTTCTTCCTGAATCAACATACTGATGTTATCTGATGGAACAAAATGTACAAGAGTACACACACACACACACACACACACACACACACACACACACACACACACACTGCTCAAAGGGCATGTCCTAGGGAACATTAGGGCTAAACATTAATCTCCTGGATGCTGCTGAGTTGAAGTTAGAGAATAAAGGACACCATGGTCAACAGACAACCATAAACGCAAAAAGCTGTAACCCCTTACACAACTTCACATGCGTTCCAGCACGTGCACGCACATTCAAAGTCATGTCATAGCACAGACACACACACACGTGCAGTGTGTCTGTTACCGCTTTTAAACCACTGGATTGAGCCACTGTGACTGTGTGGCTGTTTCCCCCTCCTCATGTTTGAGGTTCATTGAAGTTTTGTCATATTTTGGTCGAAACCCACTTAGTTTTCTTCCCCGTTTCTGTCTGCCTTGTTCTTTCCACTTCCATTTTGACATAGTTTGGTCAGAGTTACTGTTTTCTTTGCCCTTTCTCTCCTGCTATTCCCCCTCTCTCTCCTCTCATTCTTTGGGTAGGGAGGCGCAATGTGGGGGGGGGGTGTCAGACAGGAAACCGCAGGCCCCCTGCAGCAGCACCCCCCACTTGGCTTCACTATCCTCCTCCTCCTTCTCTTCTTTACACCCCCTGACCCATCTCGCAGTGTGGAAATAATAACAGTCAGACTAAACTCAGAGGGCTTCCGCTTCTCCCTCTCTTTCTCTCTGGCAGCACCTCTCGTTCTCTTTGTCCTCAGTTGTCTGGAAAGCCTCAAAACGTTGCTCTCTTTGACAAGTACGGCATGAGGTGTGTGTGTGTGTGTGTCTTCATCCGTGTTTGAGCCTTATGTCAACTCCGTTGTGTCTTTAAATGTGTGCTTGCTTGTGTGTGGATGTGTGTGTGATGATGGATCCTGTTTCCTCTCCCCTGCTGACGGCCCCCTCTGGCTTCCCCCGAGGTCTGCAGGCCCGCAGCCCCACAGTCTGCTGGAGAGGAGCGCAGAAGGGCCTGTGTATGTGTGTTAACGTGTGTTTGTGTGTGCGTGTTTGGGGAGGGTAAGAGGATGAGAGTCATGGGCTAGGCAGCTCACATGAGGAAATAGGAAGCCAAAAATAAGAGGATAAGGGGCTTTAGCAGGGGCCCTTAAAGTGAGAGTAGTCAAAGTCAGAGTATGTGAGGCATCATCAGGGGAGTCAGGAGTAGGAAGTGAGGTAAGGGGGTGAAATTAGGAAGCAGGGAGGTACACTAGGGGGGTCAGGGCTTGAATGAAAAGTACATTTGAGTGAAGGCAACAGAAGGAGCGTGGAGCTATACGAAACTACAATGGAGGTGAGCTCAGAAAAGGGAAAAGTTAAACACTGGAATATTAGCTCCTCACCTAAATGAGTCATGTAATTAGGGATCATATGGAAATGTCATTACCTGGGGGGTTAAAATAAGTAACAAAGTGCCAGTCAACCTACAGTATGTACATGAAGTTCTACACTGGAAGCAATTTAGTGTATTATTAACGCTTGGATGCTGTTACAGATGTGCAATTTTTGATCAGGTAATTAACCAAGGGGCTTATGCGAGGGAGACTCACAAGGACAAGGTGGTAAAGAAAGTCACGAAAAATAGTGAAAAGTGAGAAACTTAAGGGTGTGTGTGTGTGTGTGTGTGTGTGTGTGTGTGTGTGTGTGTGTGTGTGTGTGTGTGTGTGTGTGTGTGTGTGTGTGTGTGTGTGTGTGTGTGTGTGTGTGTGTGTGTGTGTGTGTGTGTGTGTGTGTGTGTGTGTGTGTGTGTGTGTGTGTGTGTGTGTGTGTGTGTGTGTGTGTGTGTGTGTGTGTGTGTGTGTGTGTGTGTGTGTGTGTGTGTGTGTGTGTGTGTGTGTGTGTGTGTGTGTGTGTGTGTGTGTGTGTGTGTGTGTGTGTGTGTTGCGGCGTGTTCTTGGACAAAGCTGTTGTCTGGAGGTTTCTGGTCTCTCTGGTGATCTCATCATCTCCAGCCTGTTGCCATTAGTGTGTGTGTGTGTGTGTGTGTGTGTGTGTGTGTGTGTGTGTGTGTGTGTGTGTGTGTGTGTGTGTGTGTGTGTGTGTGTGTGTGTGTGTGTGTGTGTGTGTGTGTGTGTGTGTGTGTGTGTGTGTGTGTGTGTGTGTGTGTGTGTGTGTGTGTGTGTGTGTGTGTGTGTGTGTGTGTGTGTGTGTGTGTGTGTGTGTGTGTGTGTGTGTGTGTGTGTGTGTGTGTGTGTGTGTGTGTGTGTGTGTGTGTGTGTGTGTGTGTGTGTGTGTGTGTGTGTGTGTGTGTGTGTGTGTGTGTGTGTGTGTGTGTGTGTGTGTGTGTGTGTGGTTGAGTCAGTAGCCAGGGACTCCAAGCCACAATATTTTTCCCTTCAGTCATGTTGTTTTATATCATTCTTTGAGAGGGAGAGAAGAACAGAGTGGGGTACTGTGTTGTCCAGATAAATACAGTAGTAAAGTGATGGAAGAGGTGTAGAAGATCTGAAGGGTGAGTCCAAGGGTGGAGAAAGGGAGCGAGAGAGGGTTGTAGGAAGTGTTTGCTGAGTGGGTTGGGGTTGAGTACACAGAAGCTCTACTGACCTAGAAGGACAATATTTGCAGACCACACTTGACATGCACAAATACACACCCACAGGGAGAAAGCGCACAGGGAGAAATACTCAACAACTCAAGGTTATTTACCAAAAAGGTGCAGCACACGCTGGCTCCTTCCTGTCACAGTTAGTGTGTGTCCTGTGATTTAACATCATAGGGGAGCTACAGTACAGTGCCTGGAGCAACATCTGTCTTATTTCTTTCTGCCAGAAAGACACATCTGTCAGATCCATTTCTACAGAACTCAATCTGTCAGAGGATCATTGCAACTAGCACTCCGACTAACGGTTATTTCTATTATCAAACAATCTGGAGATTATTTTCTTCATCAATATAATAGATTTCTGTAAAGTCTTCAGATATCCTGTTTTGTCCATCATACAAAACAATTAAAAAGCAGCAAATCATCCGAGTTGAGAACCTTTAACAAGTTGTCTTGCTTGAAAAATGACAAACATATTATCCTGGTTACATTTTCTGTCAAACCACTAATCGATTAATCGTCAAAATGAAAACTGGATCACTGATTCATACACAGATCAACAAGCTCCAGCTGCAGATATGTCTCTGGAGGCCTGATGGTTGTTGGAAGTGTACTGAGGGACATGCTGCATCGCCAAATTACATTAATTTCCTGTGATTGTCTAAACTTTCTGTGTCTCGTTGTTTTTATTCCGTTATGATATATCCCTGAGGGAAAGTTTGCCCTGTATTCTTTTCTCTGTTCACATTCCTGTATGGCCAACCATCTCACTTACACCTCCATGCAGATTAAAACATAACAACGTGTTTTATCTGCTGCTGCCGCTACCATGAGAGCCACATCTCTGTCACTGTCACAAAACTTGTTCAGAATAATGACAAGCAGATTTAGTGTCTTTGATTGTATTCATATGTTCATGTGAGAGGGCCTGTGAGAGGGAATACAGCATGACAGGTGAACTCTGAGAGGAATGGTATGTTCCTGGTGTGGCCCTTCGAGTGTCACTGCAGGGGTTTGCTAAAGACCTACATGATCTGAGCTGAGATACGTATTGTATTTCTTTGAGTACAAGAACATATATGTGCATGTGTGCCTATTGACATAGGTTTTACAGGTACTTACATGTAAATGTCAATCGCCCTCCTGAGCCCAGCCCTGCAGCAACATAGTCCTTTTCATTTATTGTATTTAAGAGTTGAGGCCTATGAGTTTGTTAGGATTGAGTCAAGGGAACATTTCTAAAGTAAAGCAAATTCTTAATGAATTTCAATTCATTAAATGTAACTTTTAGTCCATCCAAAAGTTACAAATGCCAACAACGAATATGGCTAGAGAGCCAAACTCAAGGCTTACTAAACAAATTCCACAAACCAAAGGTTGACGTTACTGTCAATTATTTCAAAATGACATCTGTGACTGTGGGATCTTACCCAAATGTCCTGACATTTTGTATAAAAAAACATTGCGACAGATAAATAAATAATAATGATTAGTAGCTATACATGTTGATCCTCGGGCTGGAAAATAATAACGTCTGGGCCTGTTTTCTGGTGCTTTCCATTAATGACATTGAGAGTCCTTGTTCTTCGAAATATATGAGTCAAACTGGTTCTCTTACAGTACTCTTTTTAGTACGGGTTGCTGGGGAAATATTTAGATATGAACATGTAATAAGTGTGGGGAATTCCTTTAGGGCCATGTTTCAAACTCAAACCAAAACAGTCTTTAAACAAGACAAATGTATTGGGTCTGAACTAAAACAACATGTAACCTGTACTTACTGTACGCCACTTACTCGTTTGTACTCTTCCTGTTCTGATCTATCGGTTTGTGCTTCATGCCACCTCAGTGTGTGATTCACAACCGCACAAGAACAACAGATTGACCTCTCGGTGAACTACAATACAATACAAACCCAGATTAGAACACACACACACACACACACACACACACACACACACACACACACACACACACACACACACACACACACACACACACAGGCCCCACTTGACTGCCGTCTCTTTGTTTCGATGGAGCCGGGCAAAGGGCGAGGCTTCAGTCGTCATGTTCACACCCTTCCTGAAACAGCAAGCAAGCATCCTGCTCTACTATTGGGCCGTTTCTCAATGTCGAGTAAAGCTGCTGCAGAGCGACTATTTCAAGTATACTACGTCATCGAGTGGCACCGAAGGACTGTTTAAATGCCCAGCATTCGGCGCCACTCGATGACGTAGTATACTTGAAATAGTGGCTCTGCAGCAGCTTTACTCGGCATTGAGAAACGGCCTTGGTCTGCTCCCCATCTTGAGTGTGTGTGTCTCTGTGTGTGTCCAGCTGTGCGTGTGCTTGCATGTGTGTGTGTGCTAAGTTGTAATGGCCTGTGTTTCTGTCCATTTGTTAATAATTAAAGGCTAACTTGTCTCTAGACTGTGGACTTTAATCAGGTCCCACGCACACACGCACACATACTCCCTCAGGGTAAATTCTTTGACAGTTCATGTTGCCTCAATGCACTGCTGAACACACACATGCAATCACACTCACGCTCGTAAACACACTCATTTAGGAACAAACCAAAGTCATCGCAGCTGCACCCGACCATTCAAAGCCGAGGTAACTGAAGCCACCTTTGAAACCTCACACGCTTTTGATCAAATCACTTGACAGGCCTTTAAAGGTTGTGTGTGTGTGTGTGTGTGTGTGTGTGTGTGTGTGTGTGTGTGTGTGTGTGTGTGTGTGTGTGTGTGTGTGTGTGTGTGTGTGTGTGTGTGTGTGTGTGTGTGTGTGTGTGTGTGTGTGTGTGTGTGTGTGTGTGTGTGTGTGTGTGTGTGTGTGTGTGTGGTGTGTGTGTGTGTGTGTGTGTGTGTGTGTGTGTGTGTGGTGTGTGTGTGTGTGTGTGTGTGTGTGTGTGTGTGTGTGTGTGTGTGTGTGTGTGTGTGTGTGTGTGTGTGTGTGTGTGTGTGTGTGTGTGTGTGAAATATATGAGGTATTTTTAATGTCTAGTCTTTTACACTGGGCAGTTTTTAGCCTCATCACACCTTTGTCTCGTAGTCACATGGTCCGTCGTAAAGTTGTCTGTAATTGTTTGACTGTCAGACGAACGACTGAGCAAGAAGAGCTTCTGATTTAGATGCTGAAAGTAGAGAGGAGGAGAACATGCGTAAAATTGGTCAGAAAAAACTAGGTTTGGCTATTGACTGATGTGATTTACTGGAAGTGAGGCCGACAGCGCTCACACACACATTTCAGACACCTATACTTAACTACAGACCCTCGTCTAGCCTTTCCCTGTACTTTAGGTGATTTACTTTTCATCACTTCTCAAAGGCTCTTCAGTATTTTACGTTTAATGCCACTTGCCACTTTACTTCCATAAGGACATCTTGTACTTTTTACCTCACTTCATTTATTTGATAGCTATATTACCTTTTCATATTATTATATGCCATTTAAAAAATGTAAAATCTAATAAGATTATACAAAACAATAATAAATATCGGCTGTTATTTCAAAAGTTTGAACTCCAAAAAGTTAAAAAGGTTTGAGGGGGCCCGGCTTGAAATCACAATACTATCGGCCATAAGGGCCGATGTTTCTGCAAAATAAGTTTTTACTTATTTACTTTTATACTTAATGTGATAATACTCCGTACTTTATCTTTTTTTTGTGTTTGTAATGCTGTATTTCTAAAATAAATATATATTTGTTCTTTGGCTTAAAGGTGGGGTAGGTAATTTTGGAGAAATGATCAAGAAGAGCATAAATTAGTTCTTATCTAATGAAATGTGTGTACTGATGGCTGTATGTGTGTGTTTTATCTTGTAGGAGCCTGGCCCGTGCAGCCATGCTGATGTATGATTACCCTCTGAAGACAGACATGGAGACGGTAAGTCATATGTGTGTGTTTTTGTGAATGTTGCTTCGGGTGCGTGCGTGTTTTTGTGTGCTCACATCATGCCCAAACATGTTTTTGATGCTATACAGAAACTCTGACCTACACACACTCTCCTGTTACGTGTCTAGACATACTGGTTCACATTCCAGCTCTTCCTGGACAAACAGGCTGCTGTACAGTGGACATTTGCATACAATGGCTACAAACATTGCCAGGCAGCAGGCTAATAGACACACACACACACACACACACACACCCACTGAGGCATAACAGTTATCCGCTCCCCAACAGAGCTGGGTTTAAAGTTTTTGGCTGGCTGTAGTTGTTTGTGTGGCAGAAACATGTTTTCCCTGTTATTTAACGCAGAGCGGAAGTTTTTAACTGCTCTTTTGTCTGCTTCCTTCTGCTTCCTCTCTCTCACAGTCATTCTACTCTTCGTTAGTGAAAAACCCGGAGCAATACGGAGTGATCTTCTCCCACCCGACCCACCTCTACCACGCTTCACACATGCACGCCTTCACCCAGTCCCACGCCCCCAGCAACCCCACACACACCCAGCTGGAGCCCGTGGATCTGTCCGTCAGCAAGCGTTCCTCCTCCACCTCCTCTTCCTCCTCCCCTCCCTGCTCCTCCGCCTCCTCCCCGGCCTCCTCACGCAGCTCCCCGCCCTCCCCCTACAGCTCGGGGAGCCGCGCCTCCCCCCGCTGCTCCACGCCGCACTCGCAGATGCGCTCCTCACCCTCCCACGTTCTCCAGCAGCACACTCCCTCCCTTCCTTACCCCACCATGGTGGGTCCTCTGATCAGCTCAGGATCCGGAGTCATCCAGGGGTCAGGGGTCATGGTGTCCCCGGTCATGGTGCCTCTGTCCGTCCTCTACCCCTCATCTCTCCACCTGCATCAGTCCATAATGGTGAGCCAACCTGTCGCCAATGACGACGTCCATCATCGAAGCAGGGAGCACAAGCCAGGTGAACCCTCGTTTCTTTTCTTTTCTTTAAGATGTCAATTGAGTTGATTTGAGCTTGAGTAACATTACATACTATACATGTTGCCAAAATGTTCTCACAAATGCAAATAGGTTTAGTTTCAGTTTCATTAAAAAAAAATAGAGTAAAAGTAAAATCGACACGACAGAATGGAGATATGTGAAATGTGACATCATGAAAACGCGGTCTGAAGCTTCAGAATAGGGCCCAGATAGTTTCTCAACTTTAGGTATTCAAACCCGTTATTATCTAAAAAAGTGCACATATTTTACAGTAACATTAGCAACCTAGAAAACATGTAAGACTAACTAACGTCCTATAACCCTTACTAATATATAATCCTGCTTCAGTCCGAAGGTTGATGCAATGTATAAGATAAAATAAAAGTGACAAAAGTGAAACAAATACAAGTCATCTGAGCATCCTACAGTTATAGCATCAGTCAGCAGGCCCTCAGTGAATGCAGTATATGTTTTGTTTCCTTAATTTCATTCCAAAAAACGAATTCTCGAAAAATGTGACGTGCTTTTCATTTCCTCTGTTTTTAGAAAATCTGTTTCAGCAGATTCCTGTTTCTTAGGAAATCCATGTTTTGTTGTTCTGTTTTCTGTGGTCAGATGGAGTTCACTGAGATTCACAGAGTTAAACATGTCTGAATCACTTTTTTGTTCACAACAGTGGCTCAAATGAAATCTTAATTTGATGTAACCTATGACATATGGAGAGTATGTTAATGTGAATACATCACGACCATACTGACCAATACTTTATATCCACAGTTCAAAATGGCAACATCCATGACCTGCACAGGCCAATCAAAAAGGAGCCTCGCTCTGAGCTCTCTCATGACTTTCACAGCAGCCATGAGATGAAATCATCAGTCATCAGGATACCACACGAATACGGGTGAGTGACTCTCGCACACATTTGGAAAGAAGCACCAAAAGTGTCATAAGTTTCTACGTCTGCTTGAGCGCTTCCCCTTTATCTGTATATGGAAGTCGTGGTCAGATGTTCCGACCTATCCATCTCTGTTCCTGTTGTGATCTTTTTAAAATTCAGGTGCAGTGCCAAAACTGTGACTGGATATTGTTTGAATTACAAAAAAAGTAGGATTGAAATCAGGAAATATATCTATAAACAAAAAATATCACAAAGCAGTCACTATATATAACATTTAGCACACAGAAACTAGCTGCGATTAAAAAAATTATAAGGAATTGTTGTCTTATCTTCCTTTTTTATTTATTCTATGGTAGAATTCATGAGTTACTGTAAAGATAAGATTTGAAGGATAATTCGGACAACCACAGTGCTAGGAGATACCGATGTAACCTACCATTAATGGTTGTTTTTTTTAAAGCAACTTTATCTATTATGCAAGAAATTTCCCAGAATCTTTTATTCACTTTTCTGTCGTCCTTCAGACAAACCTCTTAATACAACTGTTTGCCCTTCCCATTCTAGTCAGCCACACATATCAGCCACCTTGATCCTCCGCCTCTTCTCCCATCTCTCCTTTCTCTTTCTCTTCCCCTCCCTTCTTCCTTTGCTCAGAACGTCCTGTATTTTTTTATGAACATTGTTCGGCTTCTCTCACTGCTTTCTGCCTTCCTCATCTCTTCCTGTTCCTCATCTCCTTCCTGTCCCCTCCTCCTCTTCCTCCTAACCTCCCATTGTCATCTGTTTTGGTTCCCAGAGTCTTCTACAAAATAACTGCTTCTCCTCAAATAAATAATTGCATGTCAAGTTACACAGTTAATAGTCAGGGAATGCTGCCAGTTAGTTCTTGCTTCTTGAGTGTGTGTTTGTGTGTCTGTGTTTGTGTGTGTGAGTGTATTTTTCTTCACTATAGTTGTCAAGGCGGTGTCCATCACAGGCCATCGTTGCCGTCGAAATCCTGTGAAGTAATTAGACCCTTAAGGAAGAAACAGGGTGTCTCTTTACCTGTCATCAGATCTTAAAACCTCTCACACCTCTCAAAAACCATGAGCAATGTGCATGTAGATGCAGTAGATAGGTCAACTTTGCCCAATGTGTGTGTGTGTGTGTGTGTGTGTGTGTGTGTGTGTGTGTGTGTGTGTGTGTGTGTGTGTGTGTGTGTGTGTGTGTGTGTGTGTGTGTGTGTGTGTGTGTGTGTGTGTGTGTGTGTGTGTGTGTGTGTGTGTGTGTGTGTGTGTGTGTGTGTGTGTGTGTGTGTGTGTGTGTGTGTGTGTGTGTGTGTGTGTGTGTGTGTGTGTGTGTGTGTGTGTGTGTGTGTGTGTGTGTGTGTGTGTGTGTGTGTGTGTGTGTGTGTGTGTGTGTGTGTGTGTGTGTGTGTGTGTGTGTGTGTGTGGTGTGTATGGGGGGGGGGGTTCTGCACATCTTCTATGCAGAACTGATCTGTGAGGGATTCATATTTCAACACCCGACACCTGCTCTCAACTGCCACTTGCACACACACACACACACACACACACACACACACACACACACACACACACACACACACACACACATACACATACACATACACATACACATACACACACACACACATTGGGCAAAGTTGACCTATCTACTGCATACACATCTACATTTACATTGCTCATGGTTTTTGAGAGGGCGGGAAACAGATTAAAACATTTAAAATATGTTGTTTCTCGGTTATTATTTTGAATTCTATTCTGTTACTGTATTTAGTACTGTAACATTGAACATTTTCACAGAAAATATCTCAAACACACACAAACCTACACATACACACTAGGTGCAGAGTATTAGACTCGTAATATTCTTGGGCTAGCTTAAGTTGGGTATTAGATGGAAAAAATTGATAGATGAGTTGCAAAGTAGCATCTACTATTTCACAGTATAGGGAAGTCCAGAGCTTATTTCATTAATTTATTGCTGTAAGTCAGCAGACGTTGTATACAATTCCAGTGAATGAAAGCATGACACGGGAGGCAAGACAAAGGAAAGGCGTGGTGGTATACTGGATAAGGCAGGAGGTGTTTTTTTTACTTCCTCACTGGTAGAATTTGTTATTGCATTGGTAAATCGCTGCAACCAAATTACCCTTACATTAGATACGATTTTAACATGATAAAGTGGAACGCTGTTAAATGACAGCGGCTCCCTCTCCTGGTTAAATTATGTGAAGCAAGCACCTCTAACAAACTCTCTCTGTGTATCTCTCAGGTGTAACAACCCATCAGTAATAGTTCATTCGGGGGCAAAGCATCCTCTCCCCGCCGAGTCTCCTGACACACTGAAAAAGAGGCGAATCCACTGCTGTGACTTCAACGGCTGCAACAAAGTGTACACCAAGAGCTCCCACCTCAAAGCACACCGCAGGACACACACCGGTAAGAGTCACACACAAACGGTACATTAAAACACTTATATCATCCTTTACAAGCACTGTAAGACCAATTTGACTGGGGGGGTCCATGCTGTGGCCAATTATTGAGAGGGGCACTTTTAATGTGGGACAAAAAATACATTTTTAGTTCAGTATACAATTATAGAGCAACCCTATAGAAACATGATTGGTATTTGTTTTAGTTACAGAATTTGTGTAAATAACTATTTGAAAAACAAAACAAAACTTCAGCTCAAGTTACAGCACAATCTTCACTGCAACACTATCACAATAACATAGAATCCTTTTTCCGGGGGGAGGGGGCACAGGGGGGTCCAAGCTCAGTGTTACAGGGGCACTGGCCCCTGTTGGCCCCCTCCCCAGAACCGCCCATGTTTAAAAGCCCTTTTGCTGACCATCTTTTCTCCCTTTGTGCAGGTGAGAAACCCTACAAGTGCATGTGGGAAGGCTGCACGTGGAAGTTCGCCCGTTCAGACGAGCTGACGAGACACTTCCGCAAACACACAGGAGTCAAACCGTTCCAGTGCCCCGACTGTGAACGCAGCTTCTCCCGGTCGGACCACCTGGCTTTGCACAAGAAACGCCACCTCCTGGTGTGAAAAACTCAGAATCCCGGCAGCTTTTTAAAAAAAAACTTGTTGCTGGTTTTAACGTTGGACTGTACCACTGTGACTTATGGGGGGGTTTTTAAAGAGTTTGCCTTACATGTTGGACTCCAGGGAGTGGGGAAATGTTCCTTCAGGGTGCGAATTAGGACCCTTTCAACTCAGTAGCCTGAGAATTAGCTGGGGGTCCACCTATTAATCATGTAACCGTCACCCCATCTTGCTTGCAGATTTATCAGCAGCTTATTTAGACATGTTGAGAGAAACCAGATCTCTGATCAGGTGTGGAAGGCCCAGACACTCTTTAAAATAGAGGCAGCAGCCTCTCAGCTGGCCTGAGAGCAGCGCCCTCTTGTGGCTGCTAAACCTCACCGCATCTACACTCGCTCTGTTTAAGCCAGAAACAGCATGCTACTTTATACATCAGCTCACATTTCTCTGCATATATTAAAGTAAAGATTGTACACACGCGTTGTTTGCTAGCTAGGCCAATATAATGTGAAACTTTCCAGAATGTATCATATCACACACATTGTGTATTGTGTCATACTTCAGCTTTTCATCAAAGCTGCTACCTGTGACATAATGCTAATGCTAACTCCTCCTTCATGGACCGCCACATTAAAGCACCACACACCTCATCTGCCTCTACAAGCTTAAATCATGAAGTGACTCTAAATAAACAAACAGGTAGCTATTGCTCGCTTTCCCTTGTACATACATGCACACGTTTAAAGGCACACACAGAAAGAAAACATGCACTTAATAAAAGCAGCCTGGGACTGGTGTGCTTTTGGTATTTGGGTTTGATAATAAGGGTTGTTCATTGTTGGAGTTTCAAAGTGTTTTTATGTTTTCATTCAGAAATGTGAAAGTTGCTGCACATGGGCATTATTGTGTTTGTGAGGAAAAGACACCACTCGGTTGGTTTAAGGGTAGAAGCAATGAAATGTCTTATATCACGTTTATGTATCAATATGAACTATGTTTGGTTTTTGATGTGACACAATGGTAGCCTTTTTATTTTTATTTTATGACACGTTTATATGGAAAAATACAAAGTGCAAAGCAGATACATTTGCTCTTTAAATGTGTATGTTTTCAGGAGCAGATTACTTTTATTCCAGCCTTTCTCACAGGATATCTCCTTTTAAAGATTATGGCATTTAACAATATGTTTTCGTAACAGGTCATAAGATATATTATTCTACTACCCAATATTTGTTTTACCATCCACACAATTTAAGAGCACACATTTCTGTTTTTATAGCTTCTTGAGAAGAAAATTGTTTTGTTCATAGCATCTTAGTACATGTTTCCAATGTGCACTTTATATATATGTATATATATAAATCATTCCCAAAGCCAAACATTTTCTTATCACATCAGTTGTTCTATTCATTTATCTGCTGGTCAGTTTGATCAGAAACATCAGGTGTCTTTGTATTCATTTTCTTATCATTTAATACCATAAGAAGGTGTGATCCTTTAATTCACACATGCACATACAAACACATGCACGCACACACATATACTGAATGGAGTGGCTCAACAGATCTGCTTTTTGCCCCTGGATATTTTTTGCAATTTTTGCTTGTACATGTTTTGTATTTCGGAAAACACAAGTTGTAATATATATATATATATTTTATAATTGATTATTAGACTGAAAGGGCAATTAAAGGTTTTTATTAAGCATGATTTTGATACTCTCATAATAATGGATATTATACATTTCTATAATGTTCTGTCTAATATAAACCCTATCTCTTTTTAATCTAAATGTTGGCAATTCAAAGGGAACATGTTAAAACTGTGAACATATAACTGTACAGGTCTATCTGCAATTTTGCATTTATTTTAAGACAGAATATTCATACCACTTAATAAACGTATTGATAATATTTGCAGAATGGAGTGCTGTGTCTTACATTTTGTTTGTGGGTGTTTTTGCTGGAACTGATGATGGAGTTGGTAGTTGATCGACTGAAGATTTTTTTTGTATCACTGGTGACTTATTAAGCACAAATTAAAAGTTTGAAATGCTCCCTAATATAGCTTCTCAAAGTAGAATATTTCCTCTTTTTCATAGCTCATATTATATGTTATTACAAGAGCTAATAAACTTAATTATTTTATACACACAAAAACACACACACACACACACACACACACACAGGCAGCATCATCACCTGAAGAATATTATTAAAATAATAACAAATTATTCATATTGGTAATTGTAGGTATCATCAATAATTAAATCATTATAGAGGTTACTAGTTGTAGTCTTTTGAAAGTTGTAATATGATGTGATTTTTCACTATTTTGTGACATTTGATGATTATTCAAAAAATACAGTTCGTTTTTTTTTGTGGCTGTGAATATACAGCATTAAAGGACTCAACTTGCTTGTCATAAACATAGGTCATAATGCAATTATTTAGTTTATTTTCATCAGTATCTCACCAAAAGCAATTGGAAATATGAGCAATTAATAATCCTATGTCAACTTTGTTATTTGCATTATACTTTGGATATCTGTGTATATATATATGTAACTTATTTGCACTCACTCTTATTTTTTACTGCAACTGCTACGACGGAATACACTTTTACCTAAACTAAAACGTTCATTGTTTATCTGAAGATAAAGGGTGGGCTCGTCCGGGATTTGAACCCGGGACCTCTCGCACCCTAAGCGAGAATCATACCCCTAGACCAACGAGCCGCAATGAGCTGAGTGCGGAATATAGTGTACTTAAAAATAATCAGTGCTTGAACTTGTGTCAATTTTTTATTGTGTTCTTCTTCATTATGACACAAAATAAGAATGGTTAAGCTTTTAGGCCGGTGGGAATTGCCAGCGCAGTGACAAATCCACTATTATGTGAAAACAACAAAGTCGCATACATCGAGATGATTCACCCCTCATTTCTGTCTTCGTTTAAAACCACCTCACCGTGTGCCTTCCCCTTTATTTATACAGCAAGTTGCAAATCAACTGCCATCAGGCGGATACTTTTGTTGTCGGAGCAAATAAAATATGTGAAATTATCAACAGATTTCATTGTGAGACTTTTACATGTGTTGTATACCCTTTCCCTCAGCAAAGGCACCGGACGGAACGACAACGGTTACAAAGTAGTTGTTTCAGTGGAGCAGTGTCTTTAATAATGCACTGCTTAATAGCAAGTTGAATTGTTAAGCACTTGCTTTCTTCTTAGTGGAAGAAAACAGTAGTAGACAACAGTTGTTTCCAATGACTGTCTGTGTTCCTGAGGCAGTGAACTATCTTGTGTGACCATAGTCTTCGGAGCAGTGGTCACGTACCGGCCTGCCGACGTGGCGGGGCGGAAGAGGAGCCGCAGCCTGCTGGCACCACACAACCGGGTGAGCTGCACTGTCACTTTCACAAAAACAAAACTGTCTTTGAGCTTTATAACTTTTCTACTTTCTCTAACTGCAGCAGCCGACTGACACTAATGGGCAACAACACGGGCGTTTAAGTTTTGATACATTGTTTAACTTGTTAAAAAGGTAGAACTTGTAAATAAGATCATTAACATGCGAATAATAGTCTTATTGTCATTCTTTCCATCTGAACAGTGGGCTTTGTTAAATGTCTGCTTGACATTGCTCTGTATGTCAACGTTGTTTACTAATGTGTTTAATAAGTGTTAAGAGAAGCAGAAGATGCTTCGACATATTGATGGCAATATTGAATGACTGTTTTTGTAATTCTCAGTTTATAGCCTAGTTATGGGCTACAATTATAACTCTAAAAACGGTTTCGAAAGTTTATGGATCAATTATTTTTACTCCAGAGTAATGGAAACATGTTGTCATTTTATACTTAATGTGCCGTATTCTGCAAACTGTTGTGTGTTTTAATGGATTGCTGTATATTGTTGATAATGTCAACTGGTTTGTTTACTATTTTGCCCATTACATGTAGTTTGTGAACGATGACAGTGTTAAATGACATTTAACTCAAAACAAACTTCGCAGTGTTTAAAAACCATGATGACAGGGATGATAGTTATCATGTGGATGCAGATACAGCAGGCTAACACTAGATGGTAGTGTTAAACCATGAAGCAATCCTTAATCACTGCCTTTGCACAATATTTCAGTTTTCTATACTACTAAAAATGTGCCTTTCACATAGCATGCATCAGGTATGACAGCAGCTCATCCTTTATGATATTTAGGTTTTTATTCAATCATCAAACATTAGATATTTCATTCTTCTGTGAATGTATTCGATGGAAAACTTCTTAACCCTCTGCAATGCTCGAGTGGATAAAACACTAAAAGCATCTACTACAGATTATACTAAATTGACAGATGCCCAAACCAGTACTTGGCAATTAGTTGCAGTGATTTCTACCTTGGTGATGTTGTTGAAATAAGGAGAAGTTTGGACTTTATTCTGAACCTTCACAGTGGAAGTGAGTCTAAAATATCTCTGTCCTCTCCCAGTACCTCAAATACAGCCTTATTGAATTGATGTCATCTGCTTGTCCTAAGCATTTGAACGTTGTGCTATTGTACCTAGTTACTTATGATAAGATGAATATTCACTATCTTGATTATCAATGTATCTTTTAAATCAAACAGTATTCAGCTTCTACTTTCTCCAATATGATTTGAAAGTGTGTCTGTTTGTTTAATTGGTAATTAACAACAAACAAGATTATTCGTTGCATCAACAATTGAAATTGTGTTGTGAAAATGCAGGCAATGTCTTTATAAAATAACGCAAGGTTGTCTGTAGTCATAAGCCAGTACATACCGATATTAGACTAACCTTGTCAGCTTTAATTAATGCTATATATCTTTTTAATGCAGGTATGTGTAACATAGGAAACATAGATTTATAAAGGAGTACATATCTGCATTTTCTTAACTAAAACCACTCAAATTAATCTCTTCTCTTCCAGATCACCATGTCCCAGGCTGATATAGACCCCTTTGCTGACATCAGCTCTCCCCCCACTGAGCCCCTTCACCCCGACCTTGGATCCTGTCAGGATGTCCCAGCAGCCTTTGCATCGCCTCCAGCCTCTCTACAGCCTCCTCTGATTCCTGAGAGTTTTAATCTCCCGCGGTCCACCACTGAGGAGACGACCACAGAGGACATGACCACCGAGACTAACCCTTCAGAGGGTCCGACCGAACAACCAGGGCCTGCTGCTGAGGGTCAGGTGATCATATGTGACCAACCAGAACCCGCCGCTGAGGGTCAGGTGATCTTGTGTGACCAACCAGTGAGCCTGGAGCCAGACGCAGAGGCTGTAAAGGAGGATGTGGAGGTTTGTTGCAATCATTTCTTTGGTTTCTTTTCATAAAGTGCAAAATATAACATGTTCTATTCTATACTCTGTTTTTAAGGCCAAACCTGTTTTTATTGCCAGAGTGATATAGTACAAACAGGGATATTAACTAGACAAAGGTAACAAAATATATATACAGAGGATTTAACAAAACCTTTGAAACAGGCTTGCATATATGCAAGTGTGTCATTAGTTGTATATAAATAAATTGACCAGAGAAATGTCCAGGTACAGTATGTGTGACGAGGACATTTTCATTTGTTACTTGATTTTGTCATGCATCTTCTTTCTTTTAAGTATACCTTAAACTAGAATTGTGCCCTTGTGTTGGGCAGGACATATTACAATTTCAAAACAAAAAGCTGATGACACTGTACATATGATAATATTGGTGTTTTAAAAAATAGTAAAATAAATATATACTGTATATCTCAAAGTTTTCCAGCTTTTTATCTGTATGTGTTTATATCTGTAGAGCTCACTGCAGGAGACAGAACAAGGTTGGGGAGTTTGGAGTTCATGGGGAAAATCTCTTATTAACAGTGCCACCTCTTCAGTGGGTACGTCCTCTGCTCCTATTTCCTCATTCTTCTTCTTTCTTGTCCTTACAACTTTACAAACTCTTTTGATTTCCTGAGTCTTTACCTCATGTGTCTGTGTGCAGGTCAGAGCCTGACCTCGGTTAAAACCAAGGCAGGAGAAGCTCTGCGCCTCCACAAGACCTCAGTAGGAGAGGAGGCGCGAGAAGAGGAGGATGCAGTGGAGGAACAGAAGAAAGATGGAGGAGAAGGTGGAGATACTGAGCTGTCCGTCTCTGCCGAGTCTCCTGTTAGTGCTGCAGCTCCTGGCAGGGGCGTCTTCTCTAGCATCACACACGCTATGCAGAACACAGTGAGTGAACACACACACACATTCACACACAATCATGTAAACAATTACCTGCCAGTGATTTCTGATTCAAATCTGCTAAGTTAAAAAATACGTTAGTTAATGCAAGTCAGAGTTTTGACTCACAAAGATATCAGCCATCCTTTTTTGGATTTCTTCTGCCCTAACTATGAATGGGTTCATAGCTAAGCTGAACACAAATGAAAAGATGGACACAAAAGAAGTTTGCAGAAAACAAATAGTCCACAAAAAAGTATTTAGTGTATAATCTTAATGTATAATTTAAACTTGTTCTATTATAGTCTATCGTATATATGATATTGCAAAAAGTATTTTTCGCTTCACTATCTCAGTATCTGATCATTTTAGTTCAAGTCAAACTGTGGACTTCGTATCACTTTCATTATGCTTAAATATTTGTATTTTCTATCTTTTTCAATTTCCTGTTTCTCTCTATGTGTATCTCTTGTCTCTTTAGGGTAAGTCAGTGATCAGTGGAGGTTTGGATGCTTTGGAGTTCATTGGAAAGAAGACCATGACTGTTCTTGCTGAGAGTGACCCGGGTTTCAAAAAGACTAAGACCCTGATGCAGAAGACGGTGTCACTGAGTCAGGCATGTAGACACACTCTCAGAGCTCACATACAGACACTCAATATGTTTCCTTCTAAGAGATAAATAATGGAGTAAAACATGGATTTTGGTTTGGTGATATTCAGTTTAAATCCACATTTTGTCTGCCATTATATGAAGGTTTCCCTGTGATGTTTTTTAGATGTTAAAGGAAGCCAAAGAGAAAGAACGGGCCCGCCTGGGCAACCAGCCAATCAGTGTGCCCACAGCTCACTATGGTATTCTGTTTGACGACTACCAGGGCTTGTCACATCTCGAGGCCCTGGAGATCCTGTCCAATGAGAGCGAGGCCAAGGTAAGGCACCAGTGTGAGGAGTGCTTTTAAGATACAGTCTTTTTTATCAAGTCATACACTCCATATCTGCTCCTAGGTCCAAGCCTTCCTCTCCTCCCTGGTGGAAGAGGAGCAGGACGAGGTAAAGAAGGAGCTGATCGTCATTAAGAATATCTTCATCAAGCGAGAGGAAGGTGAGGAAGAGGAAAAACAGGAAGAAGAAAAAGAAGAAGAAGGAGGAGAGATGAAGGATAACGGTGTTCTGAGTTCCCAATTACACTGTTCAACCCCCCTATGTGAGTGACCCAAACCAGCCGCCAGACCTGCTGGAGGTAGAGGCGGACCCTGAGCACTGACCCTGGATCTGCTGGCCATCATTTAATTTCACCTTTTAAATCTGTCAGAGGGACATGGGTCAGGAACAGAATTGATATGACACATACTTAAACTAAAACATGTCAGCGTCAGATTGTGACATAACGTTGTGTCTGTCAGTGTCAACATACACAAATTAGTTTTCCTATTTGCAAAATCCTGGAAAATATTTCAACATTATGGCAACTGGAGGCATTTTGTTCTTCATCTACTACTGTTTCTCTCTTTAAATAATATGTTCCGCAAAAGTTGGATTTACTGTCAAGGGGATGTCATGAGATGCCACTTGTCACATGACATTTAAATGTAAAGTCACTGTGCGAGAGGGGCCCTCAGGCGATGTCACAGAAGAGCTCAAAGCAGACCGTGTCCCTCCACCTGCAGGGTCTAACAGGGAGCCTGATCCAGTGTTGGTGTTCAGGGGCCACTGACACGTTTCTTACACATCGCCGATTCAAAACAAAACCCACATCAGATGAAGACATTGCATCTGCATGTGGGTGCCTTACACATTTAGAGCTGATTGTACTGATATATAAGAGTTGTAATTTATTTAGTACAAAAACATGAATCATAAGTGCACCAAATGTTGGTTGAGCTGTTTAGCTGAAGGCAGACAAAATGTTTTTCGTTATGCTCTTAGCATGGGGGAAAACACTGCATGTGGCTTCGAATCTGCTCTCATTCTACAGTTCATGCGTCTATTAACATATGCAGTGTGAAGTACACTGATGTGATGTGTGTGATTGTGTGTGATTTTGTATTTATGCCAGCGGCCGACGGAGAGGAGTTTTTGAGCGTCCTCACTGAGCTGCTGTTTGAACTTCATGTTGCTGCAACACCAGACAAACTCAACAAGGTGAGAAATGCTTGAGCTGACACACACGCTTTTTTAATTCTTTCATTCATTCCTTAACATTTTAACCTTTAATTATTCTCATATGTACATTTAAAGACTCGCTGTCATCGTTCCTCTTTTGCATACTGGCCTTGAAGTTGATGCATCTATTGTGGGACAAAATTCATCCATCCTCGTTTTTTAAAATGATTTAAAATGTGATTTTTATCAATATTTACATATATAACGACCAACAACCAAATTCACAAAATAAACACACAATCTTAAACATGGCCAACACAAAAAACGAATGAAAAAACATTTAAAAACGAAATGATTTAAATATGAACCTAATTTTGTTGATATTATCTTAATCGTTACTTGTTCTATATCAAGCAGAAATTAACTCTTTATGTTCAGTTCATCTTTTTCAAACAACCTTTATCCTAAACAAATAAACACAGTTAAGGGCTCAATGATTCTGTCCTCAATATTCACTGGTGGTTTCTGCAGTTTTTGTCCTATGCTCTATCCTAAAAGGTTAGATGTCCTATTAAACCTCTTTTAATGTTATGTACTCACAGTATATTTTTCAAAGCTCTATTCTGTCAATTAAAGAAGCATTCTGGGAAATGTAACAAACGTACAGTAGTATCAAACCACTTAAAGTCTATCAGAGAAAATCATTTTCTATAAACCCCCTTAATTAACTTACTTTCAACTTTAATTCAAATCTAAACTGCACTCTGAATAAATCTCTTCAGAGAGAATTGCCTAATTTCCCTTCCAATTTTACTAGATATTTGGACACACGTACACATACTAATATTAACATCCACTCTCTCCTGCTGCAGTCTTAGACCTAAAAATGATCACCTTTTGAAGTCCTTCTGCATATTCAAATTCACATATATAGAACCCACATTAGCATATAATCGTGTATACGCATCTCATTAGCATATATCAGGACTGAGATCTCTCTAATTATGCATCTGCAGGCTCGAATGAGGGCCCAGGATTGGGTGAGCGAGGTGGAACAGCCTGTCACTACGGAGACGGTTGACAGGGAAACGCCACAGGACCAGCCAGCAGGAGAGGCCTTACCTGGAGAAAACGAAGAGGAGCAGGAGGAGAAGAAAGACGGAGAAGAGCATGTGGAGAAGAAGAGCGAGGGGGAGGAGGTGGAGGGAGGAGAGGAGGAAAAGAAGGAGAAAGAGAACGACCCCAGATCTGTAGAGGTGAGGTGAACTCAACAGTGTGACTCTAAACAGCAACAGACTTTATACTCTGTTCTTTTAATGTCACCTTCTTTTTCACCTGCTGTCACGGACAGATTTGATTTGATTCAGTTATTCTTTGAATATGTGTTTGTGTGCTTTTCTCCTCCTGCTCCCCCTGCAGGCTGTCTACCTGTCATCAGTCAGCAGTCTTGCAGAAGTGACGGCTCGCAGTATCGAGCAGCTCCACAAGGTGGCAGAGCTCATCCTCCACGGCCAGGACCTGGAGAAACCAGCCAGAGACCAGGCACACATCCTCACCAGGTGTGTGTGTGTGTGTGTGTGTGTGTGTGTGTGTGTGTGTGTGTGTGTGTGTGGTGTGGTGTGTGTGGTGTGTGTGTGTGTGTGTGTGTGTGTGTGTGTGTGTGTGTGTGTGTGTGTGTGTGTGTGTGTGTGTGTGTGGTGTGTGTGTGTGTGGTGTGTTGTGTGTGTGTGTGTGTGTGTGTGTGTGTGTGTGTGTGTGTGTGTGTGTGTGTGTGTGTGTGTGTGTGTGTGTGTGTGTGTGTGGTGTGTGTGTGTGTGTGTGTGTGTGTGTGTGTGTGTGTGTGTGTGCAATTTGTAACTTCATTTGTATTCCAGGTTGACATGTGCCATGTGTAAGGAGGTGGAGTGTTTGGCCAAGAAGTTCTCTGATACGCTGCTTCTTGTTGGGGTAGGTGAAAGGCATAGTTAGTAGGTTTCTTTTCAAATGATCTTTAGAAAGGACCACAACCTACACATTTGTTTAATCTTTGTAGTTATTTATGATTCATGATTGTTATGAAAATGTACAACCAGTAAACTAAGTGTCATCCTCCTTCTGCTTCCTGTGTCTCGTCTCTCTGTCGCAGGGCCAAAGGAAAGCAGAGGAGCTGAATCCGCTGGTAAACGATGTGCTTTTAGAGGTGAGATGCAGTCATTTGTCCTTAGATGATCTTGAATATAATTGACAATGAATGAAATGAATGCTGTGGTAAGCTCAGCGTGAAGATGACTGCTGTAAATGTGTGGTAATTGATCATGTTTAATGTGTTAATAGGGAATGAGGTGAGCTAACCTTCAAAGGATAAAGATCTGTTTAAATAAATTCACAAGGTGTTCAATATATTAATGGTGCTCAAAGTAAATTATGTTTTATAATTTCAACCTCAAATACCTTACTACCTTACTATTTTTTAAATGTTTTAAATGTTCTGTATGATTTAAATACAGCTTTAAACTATACCCTAAACCACTTATTAAAAAGGTCAAATCATTGAATTTCTGATGATGATGATGATGATGATGATGATGTAGTTAATATTATGTTTATGGTGTTCATGGATTTCCTGTCTGCAGGGCTCCAACAGTACCAACTACATTGAGAATGCATTGCAGCTGCTGCTGCCCGTTCTGCAGATCTCCCACATCCAGAGCCAGCAATGTCGCTCCAATTCAGAACCATCAGCGCAGACACAGCACTAACAGACACACACACACACACACACACACACACACACACACACACACACACACACACACACACACACACACACACACACACACACACACACACACACACACTCGCCAAATGCTCACCTGCTCGCCTTAATGTATCTATTGTTGTACAGAAAGTATACAGAATAGATTATGTCAGATTAAGAGCTTTAATCCACATCCCATGCCATCGCTAAAGGCCAAAGATGATTTACACATATGTAATATAATTTTGAAGATAACAGTTTAACAAAATAGACACTTGTAAAAATTACCCATGTTTGACGTTATTTTGACTCAGCATATCTTTTTCTTTGAGGACACTAACTGACTTGTTCAGAGTTTATTCAAGCAAAGCTACTACTCAATCTGAAAAAACAAATATGTTTCTGTGTCGTCTCCAAAAACTGAACCAAAAGAAAACTGCAAAATGCCAGTATTAGTGATTATACACAACACATTTAGCTTGTTTCTTTATTTGTTTTTTGTATGTTAAATGATATGAAGTACCACTCTTATTCGGTTAGATTTGACACAGATCTGTGCTTCACACTTTAAATGAGAAAATATTAAGTTCTCCTGCGTTATTTTCTATACCTTATTGTTATACTAAAGATGTAATGTAAATGAATTCATCTGTAATTATGTTTTGTTATGCTGCTATATTTAGTAATAGTTATATAGTACAAATAGTTTGAGTTTCGACTTATTGGGGATTTTTGTTTATTAGCTTTCTTGCCTCTTGAGAGTTAGCTGAGAGGTTCGAAACCACTCTCCTCATCTGACTCTTAGAAAGAAAGAAAAAAATGTCACTAAAATGTTTACCCTTATCTTAATAACTAAATGACACGACATGACTACTGCTTGGTCCAAATCTGAACATCTTGAAGAAGACATTAGCCAAAACATTTGAATTAATCTTGTCCTCCTTGTCCACACTTCTGGCTCCCAGGAGGTAAACATCTCAAACAGTTTCAAAATTATTATTTTTCCCCTTTTACTTCAAATGTAAAGTTTTAGCAGCCATTCCAAGATGCTCACGGCGCATCCGTTCTTTAATATCCAGTGTTAAATTGGCTCTTAGCTTCAAGCCATTTCTCTTTTTCGGCTTCTTCCCTTTTTAGAGATGCATTGGAGGCACGAAAGACATTAAGCAAAGAAATGACTGTCGTAATGTTTTAACTCTTTCAGCTTCATCCAGATGAGATTAAGCTGTGCAACAGCCATGCTTCTGCCTTAGAATACAAAATGATTTGTAATGTGAAATGAAAAGTCATTTATTTAAGTTTGGAGAGTTTACTAATATATTGTGATTCCCTTCTAATAATAATGCCATTAGACTGTCAAAAATAAATGTTTAACTTCATATTCATGTGTCTCAGATGTTTTTATTTTTATTTTGACCATTAAGGTGGCTGGTAATTAAAGCTGTCTTTTTTAATTTTTGTCCAACACACTCTCAATAAGTCAGCTCTTCTGGCTGCTCCTCTGTCACTAGGTCTGCTCCTCTGATAATGAAGACATGAAGGGATGGTTGCGATGATGAAGATTTGCTAAAGGTAAACAAAAAAGAAAGATAAGTGTTAGCTAACAGGATAAAGAGTCAGAGTGGGTGACCTGAACTCCCTAAATGAGGTATATTTGATGTAGGCTACAGTAGTTAGTTGAAGTATAATAATTTTCAAAATGTTATAAGGTTAAATGTCATATACATGAAAAACTTGCATCACAGGTTCCTCAACAATTCAATATAAATATGCACAAGACATAAATCAAAGTAAGAAAGACAATAAAAATGGTGCAAGTTAAGGAGCCCCTATTGTCGAGACGAAAGTCAATATTAAAATAAAGATAATAATATCTGATAAAAACGGTGAAGGGCACCAGAGGGCAAATTCTAAATCTGGCTCCAGTCCAGCAGGTGGTGACAGGGAGCCTAACATCTGTGGTTCCACAAAGAAGAGCCTGATGCAAAGCACCTGGAGATGCACACTCAGCAGAGGACAAAAGACAGAAACACTTAAAGGTGGGGTAGGTAATTTTGGAGAAACCAGCTCGAGTCCGCTAGAATTTGAAAATACACAACCGGAAAAAATCTGCCACTTCCTTACAGAGCCCCTCCTCCAACACACACGAACGTGCACATGACCAATGAGGGCACGAGATAAGTTTGTGCACAGATGGAAAGCTGACAGGCAGGTAGGCCATCCAGTTATTTTAGCCGGGCCAGCTAAAATGATTAGTCGTGCTTTTTACAGCGCTACGGCTTCCACAGATGAATTTTTTTAATGGATTTTGTTGTCAAAGCACTTAAGATATTCATTGATATCGGGATGTTAAGAGCATTCCATGGAATATAACAAAAAGTGGATCTCGAGCCGGTTTCTCAAACTTACCTACCCCACCTTTAAGTACAGTACATTAGCCTGTATGCCCATGATAAATTGCCTTAGCTAAACCTTGAGCTAACTTATCCATTAGCTAGTAGCCTACCTTAGTTAACTATATTTGTTATTGTCTTTTAGCTAATTAGCTGTAAACTCGAGGCACTGGCAGTTTAGTAATTTGTTCATCACCAATCACCTTCAAAATAAGCCAAGAAAAGCCGGCATAACATGGGACAGTAAAGTGGGATGTGCTGCTACCTGTCTGTCTGAAGTGACTGCCGATGTCCGCACCGCTGTGCAGGAGACGTGGAGGGAGGGAGGGAGAGCTACGGAACTTCACAGTCTAATCTCCCGACCTGATATTTTGTATTCAATCAATATATATTTGGAAAGGGAAACTGTGCGCAAACAGCAGTAGATATATATTCATTTATAACAATTAAAAAAAAGGGGGAAAAAAGGGCATTTTCTCTGGAGGAAGAAAAAGGGCAGGGGCTCAAGCCCACTTTGATGTCTGTGTGCACGTGCCTGCTGCAGCGTTTAGTGTGTGCACTATGCAGTGATAGCCTTTGCAACTTTGCTCTTTTAGCTAATGGAGTTTACACCTCTGTGTTGCTTGTTGTTTAATTATGTTGATTAAAATGTTATGGGCTTGTTACGGTATAGTATGTGCTTTTGCCAACACTTCAATTAGGAGATCTAATGATTGTATCGTTCTCGGTTGAATGGAAACAAGTTGTGCAAAGGAAATGCATACTTAAAGTAGCCTCTTTCAGTCTTTAGGTTTGCATCTTTACCTGTATAGCAGTGGTCACTATTACCATCCAGCAGAGTTTCTATGTCACCTGAAAAAAGCATGCAAAAACTATCAACTCACAATCACAGATTTTTCTCAGAATTTCTGTGTGTTAATATCCTACCATTATCCTGTGTGTCAACTTCTGGAATGGGTGAAAGTCCTGTCAATAAAAACAAAACAAGTTTCTAAGGTTTGAAATGAACGATTGTGGAAAATACTGGATCATAGGAAGACAGAAAAGGGTACATCTTCAACTCATCGATCAGTATGACATGGATTCAATAATAAGTATTTCACCTGCTTTTCCTAAAATGCTAGAGTACCTAAAATATCACCTACAGTAAATCCCAAATGTACCATGTGCACCCTAAGCTAAACAACTTTGGGTCGTATGCTTTGTTTAGGCAGGGGGCCTTAAAAATGGGGTTCAATAAATGATAAAATGCCTTAAATAAGTCTCTAAATGTACACAATCACATCTTACACAACGGTCTTCACATCTGTGAATCTCCTAGACTGTATGGTGAATCTATAGAAAAATACAAACCTGCCAGAAATAAGGATGTAAACCTTTTTTAAGGTTGATGCGGTATTACTGAATTTGCCAAAATCGTTTACCTTTGGGAATGAAGATTTCTGTGTGTACCTCACCATCTGGTAGAAAGATCAAAAGAAACAGCACATCAGGTACATATTGTGATTCATTTCATATACAGGTGTATGATGAGACAAACGATAATAATCAAGGGAAAATAACAGACTCCTAGACGCGTTTAATAGTGCCCTGTCACCTGTTATGACAGTTTGCTTGCTTTAAATTATCCATTGAGGAACAATTGCAGTATTGTGTATTGAATATACAAAATAGCTTGTAATCAGTTAGATTAAAGGTGGGGTAGGTAAGTTTGAGAAACCGGCTCGAGATACACTTTTTGTTATATTCCATGGAATGCTCTTAACATCCCGATAGCAATGAATATCTTAAGTGCTTTGACAAAAAATCCATAAAAAAATGTCATACTGTAAAAAGCACGACCAATTATTTTAGCCGGCCCGGCTAAAATAACTGGACGGCCTACCTGCCTGTCAGCCTTCCATCTGGGCACAAACTTATCTCGTGCCCTCATTGGTCATGTGCGCGTTCGTGTGTGTTGGAGGAGGGGCTCTGTAAGGAAGCGGCAGATTTTTTCCGGTTGTGTATTTTCAAATTATTGCGCACTCGAGCTGGTTTCTCCAAAATTACCTACCCCACCTTTAACTCTTGACCACAGGTGCTGAAAAAGAGCCGTGTGTATCTGGGGTTACTGTATAAGGTGTCTACTCTCACTTTAATAAGGAACAGAACTGAAAATGTGAGCAAGAATGGAACGTTTTATATAAAAGGAATTAATAGGACACATTCATATTTACCTTTTAACCCCTGGCAGTGACCCCCAGTGACATCATAAACAACAGGATGCACCATGGGCTTTTCTGACAAAAATAAGAAACATTTTCAGGTCAACGTTTAAAGATCAAGCTACTCCTGTGTGTGTATGTTGCAGGTGTATTTGTGTGTGTGTGTGTGTGTGCGCCTTACTGCAGGAATTCCTCCTCCAGTAGATTTGTCCGAGCACAGTTATGACTATAGTGAGCACCACCACACCGAGCAGAGCCAGCCAGAACACCCTGAACACACACTGCCACTCATCTAAAGAACAGAGAGGGATTCAAGCTGATTCATTTACTGTCTCAGAGCATCTCCTCAGTCCCAGAAATACTCCATCCTGATTGTAAATCACTGATGGGACATTATTAAGACTAACAGATGCCAGTGATTGTTCATTTCAAGGAATCTAGAAGCCTGTTCCATAACCCTGTCAGGACATACAGTATCAGCCTCTTTTTCAGTTGCCAGATTGTTAATAATGTTCTCCACCTCGCTTTCTAAACCTTTTAACCTTAACACTTTACCCTAAAGGGTATGGTATGGAAAAGTTTAGTGGAAGTATGAAATTAAGATTGATACCCAGCTTTCAAGACACACTGGAAAATATAACTAGCCTTAAGCTTGGGGAAGTGTTGGAGAGAGAGACAAATGGAAAGAGATCCAGACAGAATCAATACAGCCTTCGAGATACAGTTTATTAAGATGTACTGTATACCTCTGATCATACAGTACAGAGAGAGGAAGGGAAACAGAGCTGAGATTTGAGTCAAAAGAACAACAACTGAGGGAAATGTCTTCAATTGGAAAAAATTACTCCACTGTGGACTGAGAGACAGGACAGCCTTAAAATCAATTTTACCTAAAATGAAAACTGATTGTCCAATTTCTTTCCTCTCCTTTCCAATTTTAGATTGAAGCCACACAAAGAAAAAAGAGCTCTCTATTCCTGACACCTACCTTTCTCTGTCCGTTTCCATGGCAGCTTTTCCTTTGCTGTTGCATTCAAAACTGTTTGATTGGTGAGCCAAAGGAGACAGCGGCTTTGATTGGCTGACTCCGAGATGGGCAGGGCAGGGAGACAGCAGTAAAATGCCTTCCTCTTTCCTTCTTTATCCTCCTCCTCCTCTTCCTTGTCCTCCTCCTCAGGTGGATAGAGGTGTAGGGAGCTGTGATTAGTGTGGCCATATAAGGTGAGATTCAGGGTCTCTGCATCCCCAAATTGAAGCGCCACTGACACCACCAAATGTATTTTTAGAGCTGTGAAGACACAGAAAGAGGAATACATTCATTACAGCCATGCTACGTACATTTGCTGAAGAAAACAGTGCAATGTTGTTGAAGGATCGTAGCTCGGAATGCACCCTATAACGTAGATTATATTTTAATTTTCATGATCATATCAGGATTTTTGCAGTCATGCCATCGTCTCTGTTTGGCTTTTCTTTCTTTTTTTGCAGAGTTCTGTTGAGAGCCATCATTTGCTAACAAGAGAGGGGTTAATTGAATGCCCTTTTATTCCTCTGGGTTTTGCTTTTTTTAACATTTGCAAATAACTTAACTAGAATACCGATCTTAAAGATGTCTCATCACCTTTTGTTAGCTGAGAAAGCAGAAACACTACAGTTATTGATGGCAGTGTAATTAATGTCCAGGAAGAACTACAACTTCATGTGTAAACAGGGCCATAGATGTTGATATGAGTTCAAGTTTAACTGAAATATTCTTAAATCCACATGAAATGATGAGCAACAGAAGTCAACAGGATTCTTTTTGTCTCGGGACCATGTATGTCTGTTTAGAATTCAAAAAGGCAGCCTATTATGCTATTTTTTTGTATTTTGTGATTCTTCTGTGACATGTCTTAAATGCGTTAATGGATAAAAAGGTCTTTCTTTTGCTGCAGCACCTCTTTTCACCCTCTGTCTGAAACCAGAGCCCAGTCTGCTCTGGCCGGCTCTGTTGTGATTGGTCAATAGAAGCGTGAATGTTCCATAGTGATGTTTACATGCACAGAAACCTATATACTGTAACACAGGAAATGGAAAACCCCAAAAAGCATAATGGGGCCACTTTAAGTCTGTACCAATGTGCTGACATCCCTAAAGCCACATTGCTAGCATGCCTAAAAACAATGAAAACTTATATTTTTAGTAGTACCTGAAGATGAGCTATGTAATTGTGAAACGTCAACATCTGTTTCACACATGAACCAGCTCTGTTCTGGGTCTCTGGAGGCGCTCCTGGACTCAGGATCTGTCGTGTTGCTCTGATGCTCTTGTGTGCAGTCTAGCTCGAACCCGTCACCTTCTGGAGTCTGTGAGGGGTCACACACATCTTTTTTTGTAATTTCAGCATCCCCAATCTTTGCTTTTTCCCCCTTCTTCACCCGATTCCCTCCCTCACAGCGTCGGTAGGGCAGGCAGAGGAAGTTCACTTTTGATACTGAGAGGGGAAAGCAAATAAACAGAAAAGTCAGAACGATTTCTCGGCAGCAATGGAAGAAATGCAAAGTGCACTCTATTCAGAATTCAAAGCAAGATCCCAAAATGGAAGATATAGCCTCCAGTTTATATCTGACACACAGGGCAAAATCATTGAAGGCGAACACGTGGCCAAGTACAAAGGCTAATGCAGGCTGCTCTCAAAAAGAGAACCATCTTTTCAAAGCAACACAATACGGAAACTATTTCAAAGCGGATGTCAGTCAATGTCTTGTTGAATGGAGCTATATTTGGATACGACTCTGAGCTCAGATAGAAAGATGCAGAGGTTGAATCAGACAGTGACAAGAAATCAAATTGACTCAAAATGTATTAAATGAAGTAAACTTCTCTTAATGGTAGACTTTAGTTATTATAATTTAACCAACATTTTTAGGAAAACTAAGCCAAACCAATCACTTCCTCCTTTTTAACTTCTTCAAGAGATTGTGAACCGATAGAGACATTCATATAAAATCACCCACCTCTGTACAATGTGAAGAAATCTGGGAGGCAGATGATGAAGGTGAGGATCACGAGGATGAGGAGTTTAGTCAGTGCTGCTCTTGTCATGGTTGCACCATAAGATTACACACACAAATGTATTCCCCCCTGACAGAGGCATGACCTTGTGGTATCTACTTCCTTTTCTTGAGTTCTAAACAAACACGTGTTTTCAGACCCAGCATCACAGAAATGTTTGGTAGAAGCCTGCCTCGATATTTTCACATAAGTCTTGCAGAGGCAGGCCACAACGAAGAAAGAACTGCACTTCCTTTTGCACTTCCTGTTTTCTTCTAAGAAAGAGTGAAAATGGAGTTTATCAGCAGAATGTAAGTAGTTGATTCGAGGTGTGAATGATGGATAGAGGATCTATCCTGTTTTGTATTTGTGTGTTGCATATCTGTAAAGAGAGATCAGCTGATGTTATATTTTTGTGTAAAACCGAAAGAAACATAGACATTTATATTCCCCAATTAAATGTGGGGATCAGCTTCAGATACTGTATGGTTGACTGTACGCAATGTCGGTTAAAGAGGGAAACGCCCCTCAACAAAACACACCTTAGACACTCCAACACTACTTTCTCCTCTGATTATGACTTTTTATCTCACTTGTGCCAGATACGGGTAAAAAAAATAGGCATCTAATACTGATGTCAGTAGTTCTATAACAGTTTCTCATTACTATGACCTTTGTATTTCATTTGTTTAACAGCAGTATGCCATCATTTTGAAGTGTCTTTTAATAATGAGATATTATTTCATTTATTTCAAATTATTTTTACGAATTTGCAGTGTTATGAAAAAGTCTGTGTGATCATTATGACATTGTTTCTTAAAATTGATTACACCTTTCTTTAGTATATGATTACGTCATACTGTAATTAGTAGTACAATTGTTCAAAAGATAATAGTTAAAAAGGAAAATAAATGTATGATTAAAATACTCGCTACTCTGAATAGTGTAGCCTAAGCAGTTACAGGTAATGGATGGATAAGTGGAGAACATCTCTCAGGCGTTTCCCATTATTATCACATAATTATCAGAATGTCGCTGATAATTAGGACTTACTGTAATTGCTTTTAAAAAAACAGGTTTTTTTCTTCTTGTGGCTTAAAGGGGACCTATCATGCAAAATGCACTTTTGTACGTCTTTTATACATGAATATGTGTCCCCGGTGTTCCAGGGAACTCACCAAGTGTCAGAAAACACAACCCTCTCTATTTTCCTCCATACCCAAATCTCTAAAAAAGGGGCTGCAACGGATCTGATACAGACTGATCCAGATTTGAACACTGTCCTGACGTCAGGACGGTGGCGCTACGGCTATTGGGCCAACTCCACCAATCAGGAGGAGACCGCCACGGCCATTGCCGTTCGAAAGCGCTGGAGACGCTGTAGTACATATGCCAGGCCAGTAGATGGTGCTGTTCTCACTGAATCTGCCCCTGCACAAACAGAGCTATAAATTGTCAAATTGAGCAAAAATGAGGCATGGCTAAAATGCATGATCTGTTTGGTATTTTGAAAAAAAAAAAGTATAAATATGCCTTATATAGGTATGGTCCTACACTATATTATTCAAATATAGCATAATAGATCCACTTTAAATTAGTATACCTGGGGCCAGCTGCCACTCCTTTTAATTAACATTACCAAACAATAGCGAGATGATACAGTAGGTGTTTCTGTTGCTGCTGAAGAGGACATTAGCTTTCTGTTTATCTGTTTCTCGTTTCCCGCTTTAAAATTAAAAAAAGTATATTTTCTTTGTAACGTTTAACTTGATCTCTGTTCAGTGTTCAGTGAAGCTTTGGTTTCCTGAGAGCCACTTATCTTTGTAGACCTGGAACACACACACACACACACACACACACACACACACACACACACACACACACACACACACACACACACACACACACAGATAAACACACAGTCTCAGACAAACACCCTTATATTAATACACACAAACACAGTGATGTGCATGGCTGGCAGGTGGAGCCTTATCTCCGCTCTGCAGCAGCTTGCCTCTCAAGGCTCAGTCGGCAGCTTAGAATGGGATGGAAGCGGCCACAACCAAAATAAAAATAAACACTTTCTGTCTTTTCATGGTCAGTCAAAGCTGCTTGCATTTCCACATATTTTAAATGAATGGCTCGAATGCATTTACCACCATAGTACCTGGGATTGTCGATAGAGTTTTAGCACATCTAACAGCTTTGTGATAGATATATATATTATTTGTGATATAGCGAAAAATCTTTAGTCTGCAGGTCACTGGTATGTGATTCAAGTGATGGCAGTATCCCCATGAATAATTTATATTTCTAAACCAGATTAAATAGCTATGAAGTCCAGTCTTTGTAGATTGTTTTATGCAAACAAACTATAGAAAAACACTGCAGGCTTTAGAGCACAGCCTCACATTTGATAAAGGTTTTGTCAGTACCCCATGTTGTTAAAGATTACTATGATCTTTAATCAAACTGACTTCAACTGATGAAAACCTCTAGTTGAAAAAAACAAGGTTTCTTTGTGAAGAGCTTCTATGTTATCTCGCAGCGCCACAGCGATGGAAGCTGAGAGTTTGAAGATAACAGAGGCAGGTGAAAAGCCTCATCAAAACCGTTTTATTGGCTGCAGTGATGGTGAAATTGAAATTTTTCACATATTTCAGGGCACCAGCTGGAAACCCCTTAAGACTCCTCAAGCTTCCTTGAAACCGTGTTAGAAAACCAGAGGTATGGCATCACAGAAATCCAATCAATCATAACTGGGTTTAATTGGGTGGAAGCTCCAGCAGATTGACAATATTCCTGGAGAGACTTTGGCCCTGAGAGAATGTCAGGTGTTCAAACGCTATGATGTGGGGATGCTTTACCCTATTTATCTATTTTCTTTTAAGCAGGACAGCTTAATTATGGGGATGACAGGTGGCTTGATGTTGGTTAATTCAGATAAACTATCTTGAAAGTAGTGGCCAGATTGCGATTCACTTCTGTATGGATAATGATGCACAGAGCAAAGATTTTTTTGTAACCTATCCACTAAAAAACCCCTTGGTCCAAAACAAGCCATCAGCCATATTTGTATTGAAGCAATAATTCAACATTTAAGCTTTTCGTTTTCTTGCAGAGAGTGGGATGAGAAGATTGATAACACTTTATTGTCTGTACGCTGAATATGCTAATTTTAATTGTGCACAGTAAATATTGAATTCTATAGATATAAAAAGCTCCTTCAAGTAAATGTTATTATCCGACCCAATGGCTTTTACTCCGGCTCAATCCTCAATACCAACTTTGTATTTGTATCTTCTATGCAATAGCGTTGCTGAGAAAGAGCGAAGCTGTCGTTATATTTATTCTTTTGTTTCAACAATTTTATAGGCTGCAATAAACTCTGTCTCCTCCAGAGATCACTGGAAGAACTTAGGACTTGTTTAATGCAAATATCCACTTTGGAGTTTTGGCATAAGGTCAGACCAATTTATTAATTTGATTCAATCAAACAAGTGATTTGGTCCGTCACACAGAGCTTACAGTATGCATCAATCTCTTTAACGCTGCTTTCAGAAATTCTACTGCTGCAGTGCAAATGCTGACCGTGCATGCTCCTGTGAAATGAGACCGTTGTCCTTCTCAGCTCTTTTCTTCTAGACCCAGTCATTTGCTAAATATTATGAATATTAACCATAAATCTTTGAGAGATACTGCATGAGAGCTATTTTTGGAGCTCTGCATTACGGCAGCATCTGATGTCGAGAGTTTGGAGATTGAATGTAACAATGTGATGAGATTAGCGATTTAGGTACACGAGAGGATATTTAACAACACGCTCCGCAGGCTCAGCGCAGTTTTAGGTTGTATTTCAGGCATGAGATGTTGTACACTTGATCCTTCTCATCATGTCCTCGCTGAGCTGAATTTAATCCCTGGATCTGCTTGAAATGGACACTGCTCTCAGATAAACTAAAGCGTCAATAGGTGGATTGTATGTCCTGTCATTATGTATTGTTCCAACTGATTTTCACATTTATGGCTTATTTTCTCGTCCGATTTATATCACTCGTTAGTCGACCTTTTATATAATGCAATCGATATGAAAGATCGGCTCAGCTTTAATAGATTGTCTGCTGTGACCTTTCTGACTTGTCTCTTTTGTTATTTGTCATTTTGCATGGGCGTATAAACTAGTTTCCCCTCTGAGACATAATGAAGTCATCTAATGTAATCTATTGATTATACATTGCCTTTTAGAATTTAAAATGATGCCTGCTAATAAGATACAGACTTACCACTTCAGACCTTCTGCTGTCAAATGCATATGTTGACTGATAATAACAAGCAGACCCCTTAAATTATATTTTCTTTGTATATGAGCATGGAGGTTCACTCTTCACATTTGGGAACATTTTATGCAACTATACAGGCTCAAAGGTCCCCTTAGTGGTTCTCAAAGCTTCTGATCTTCAGTCTCACCCCTCCTCTCTCATCCTCTTTAGCAAATGGGGCTGGCATAGGTGTTTCATGTGATATGGTTGTATATGAGTGCAAAGTCGTTCTGCCTACTTCTATCCGAAGATGGTCTCAGGTGGCATGAGAGTGGCTTCCTTCATCTTTCCCTGGACATCCACTGTTTGAAGCTCTGACAACTCATGTTGCCTTTTTTCGTTGTTCATTTAGACTCTCTTTCTGGGTTTTTACAATTGTACCGTTCAACTGTTGTGGCACGTCAAGTCCAGTTTTCAATTTCAGGCTTTCTCGACCTGTTTTGTACTTTTGCGTTAAAGCCAAATCACAGAAAATACAACAGAAATTACTTGTGACTAAAAGTTGATAAATAAAGTGGAGCGTTGAGAAACTAGGGTCAGATATTTCGCTCAGGAGGTAGTTGATGTAGACCAAAAACAGATCTAAAGAAAGTAAATATTGGACTTTCATTTACCTCTGGCCATAGCCACAACTCATAATCAATGCTAATGTTGCTCTGTTACTGGTGTACTCATTAACACTATACCGACTGTGTTGTGGTATTTCGAACTTATGGCTAACAAGTTAACTGAGAGATGAGTTGTGAGCATGTTTTCCATAAAAAAAGAAAAGAGAAGTGGCAAGAGGAGGGAGGGCATGGTGATTTAGAGCTGTGTCAGCAGTAAAGCATGAACGGCTTCTCCAGAGATGAAGCCATTGTAAAGCTTTATGACTCTTTATGGAGAAATGACGACGTTTCAGGAAGAGATTATCGTTATGAGCAAAC